GGAGCAGGGAGCCCGATGCGGGACTCGATCCCGGGACTCCAGGATCATGACCTGAGCCGAAGGCAGTCGCTTAACCAACTGAGCCACCCAGGCGCCCAAGTTTAATTATTTCTAATTAGGCCACTGGTGGTTCTGCCCACTTGAGTTTGTGTGGTGTGTTTGTGAGTTTATTTTGATCTCCAGATTTCACTAGAATGATGAAGTGCTTCCTTTTCTATTTGAACATTCTAATGGGATATTTACAGCCTGTTTAACCTTTCGCTTTTGAATGGGTACCCTGGTTTAACCTCGTGTATCATAGCCCCGACAGCACTCCTGGAGTGGGCTGGTACCCCTGCCTGTTTCAGCATGCACGATTAATTACTTTAAGTTAAAATGGCACCTCCCAGTGATCCTGTCTTTAGTGATGGAGTTCAGTTCTCGCAAAGACTCTGGTATAATTTCCTCGGGATAGGCCCCTGTGTACTCTGAATTATTTATAAAAATGATGATCCTTTTCCTTCTCTCCATTATTACATACCTGTTTTGTGTTTTGTTTTTGCTTTCCTGCAAAAATCTACAAGTTTCTTCTCGGTGAACCTCAGGTCTGGATCTTGCATTCTCATGTCTTCCACAGAAACTGCAAGGCTCAGATACAGAATTTTTTGGTGGGTCACTGTTATAAGACAGCGGTGATAATCAGTACTTGATTGAAAACGTGGTGGAGGAAAAATGATTTTACCCCCTACTTTTAACAGCTGTGAAATTTCTGTCATCTACCAGATCCTATGAACTGGAAATGGTCTTTAGGCCAGGCTCTATGTTCTTGACATAGGGTCTACTTTTATTTTTCTTGAGAATTATTTCTTAGTTTGAAGGTAATGCAAAAAGTGAAAAAAATTATTATTTTTTAAGATAAAAAATAAATTCATTTATTTAGTGCATTTTGGAGTGGCTTATTTGGTTGCAGAGGACCCAGATCTGTTTAGGTAGAGGGTATTTGATTGTAAGGATGCGGCTGGAGCTAACATTTCAAAAGCATTGGCTGGGAGCTGGCATCTGACACCACCTTCGGAGTTTCGTGGCCTCTCTCTGTCTGACAGCGTGTCTGCTTCTGCTGGTATGTGCTCTGTTCTTCCCTCCCTGCTGATCTGCTCTCCTGGAACTGGCCTCTCCAGGCCCAAGTGGTTGTGGTCTCTTTCCGTGCACTTTTTGGCTTCTGCCCCTGCTGTGGCATCTATTTGCTAGTGACAGATTTCTAAGTGAGGAATGGTTGACCCAGCTCATCTTTTTAAGACAAATATAAACCATAAACTCCAGGTCCCTGGACACCCTAGGAATCGGCTGCCGCAGGACAGGGGTGACGAGCAATGCAAAGCTTGGCCCTGCCCCTCAGCACAGATGCGGCGGCTTCCCTTACACCGGAGTGTGGCATGGGACAGGCGTCTGAGGCCAGAATCGCCACTAAGGCTATCCTATGTCGCATTTATCTAAAGTATATATCACTGAAACTGCTCTCCCTTGTCGCAGCAGTTATCTCCGTTATAAAGAGTAGCTGGCTATTAATTCTGTAAGGAAGCAGTGACTTAGGAAAACGGTCACTGAGATCACATGATCTGAAGAAATAGAAGAGCAATTTTGAAATTGGCATTAGAAGGGAAAATAAGCAGGAGCCCGAAATCCTTGAGAAGGAGGAGAAGTACTGGCTTTAATTATTTGGGAGAGGGGACACATAGAGCGTGAAGATGCCCCGTGTGACGTGACCGGGCGCTCTGTGGACAGTTGCCGTTGGCAGCTCCCCGGTTTACCACTTCTCACATCAGCAATTTCTTGCCAAACATTCTGCTACATGCTTCCTCCCATGTGTCCCTTTATACCTTCCAGCGTGTTGATGAAAGAAATTAAGCTTTCATCGAAGTCAGTTGTCAGGACACAAAATGTTTCCTTTCCTTCTGCAGGTGTTGGGAGTTTTGTGAAGGATCCTGCAGATCCTGTCACCTTCTTATCAGGCTCACTTAGAAATGCCGAGGGGAGTCAACTGCCCCCTTCCCCTAGTGGTTAGTGCCTTACTCTGGCTCAGTAGCACAGATGTGTGTGTGTATGTGTGTGTGGTGTGTGTGTGTGTGTGTGTATGGTATGTATGTGGTGTATTGTGAGTGTGTGTTGTCTGTGTGTGTGGTGTATGTGGACAGAGCAGAACAAGGTCATCATTTAGTTTAACCAACAGGAACATGGGTCTTGAGCTATTTCCAGGTCAGGCAAATCTCACTGTTCCATCTTATTATTATTATTATTATTATTTTTGCAGATAAAATCACATTAATGTGAATTTTCTAGGCAACTGAGTAGGTAAATAAAAGTTGCAACGTCTCTAGCCTGAGAAGCATTGTGAAAACCACTAGTTTGTATGGATACAGGCATTTGTGAGGGTTTGGGCTTATGTCTGGAGGCCTGTTGGAGCCTCTGGTTTTCTGTTGCTCCTGCTGAGAGGCTGCTCCTCCATGATCAGAGAGGCTGTTCTTTTGAGTCCCTGCCCAGTCCCTGAGTAGTAGCAGATCCACAGCCAGGGCTGTCTCTGTCATGGTAGGACCTTTATTGGCTTCCTCAATTCCTGATTTTCCAGAGAGCATTGCTTGACCATGGAGGAGGAAGGCAAGGTGTTAATACCAGGCCACTCAAGTCATAGGATTAATGCTTGTCAAACCTGAACATGCAATGAATTACCATAGGATTTTGTTAAAATATGGATTCTGATGCAGTAAGTCTGGAGAAGGGCTTCAGATTTTGCATTGCTAAGAAGCCCACAGAGGCTGCCATCCCTGTTGATCCCACCGAACATGCCAGGTAGCAAGATCTGAGCCATCGCTACCCACAAACTCACTACTAATGTTCCTTCAGCAGCTTCATGTGGTTATGAGTATGGACTTTGCTCAGCTCCCAGCGGTCCTGCACCTTCTCACATGGAAGGTAGGAAACCTTCAGGATATTGCTGGTTAAAGGGTAAGATGCTATTACTGACCTCAGCTCAAGTTGGCTTTCATTCCAGGAGCAAAATTAGACCTGTCCTGGTGTTCCCTAGCTCAAGTGAGGGAGAAAAGACAAGTTTTGTGTTTGTTTCCAGAAAAATCTATCAATGAGGAGGGGAGAAGTTTTTACAGGCTCATGTCCTACACCAAGAAGAACCGCCAAGACCTCCAAACCCTGACTTTTGTGGCTTTGTTTTCTGCTATTTCAGGCACAAAGTCAAGGGGATCATGTGTCGTATTAGAAAGAACAGTGAGCTTAGGAAGAAAGAGAGTGGTGCTTGGAGGTTATATATAGGTAAAAGGAGAGAGGCTTGGGATGAGCACGGTTTTGCCGCCAAAGTGGCTGGACGTGCTTGGCAGGCAGGACTCTGGGTGGGAGCCCTGGCTTTGCTTCTCAGCACCAGGCCAGCTATGGACAGGCCTCTCCTGACAGCGTTGGGCCGTATCCTAGGGAGGAGGGGGGCAAGGCATCGCTTCCTGCAGACCCAGAGAGAGGCAGGCAAAGTGGCAGATTTCTCATGTTCTGACAGTGGATTAGTTTTTTAATCAGGCAAATAGCTAAAATAAACTTGGAATTAAAAAAACGAGGTGTTTCCCGTGAACACAGATTAAAAGCTGCCTGGAGTGTATAAAATTGGTATCTGAATATAGTGTTAAAACGCCTGAAGAAACCATACGGCCCTGAATTAAGCTCTGAAGCAGTTTTCTGTGGTAAAATGCAAATAGTTTAATGCCTGGACTCTGTGTCCGTTTTCTCTGCTCACTGATTTTTAGCTCTTTGAGGGAAACGACCTCCGGATACGTAAGAAAAGGTATTAATTACCCCACAGCACTATCTTGCTGTCCAAGAATCTCAGGCAGACTCTGTTAATGCATCATGCTTCCTGCCTGAAGGGTTAGTAATTTGAATTTTATAGCCTATGCTGTAATTTGACTTACATCACAGTACTGTCTCATTATCCATTTAGTTCAGTTTTCCCCAAAGTGCAAGGCATACACCACTGGTACTGCTAGAGATGATTTTAAGTGGAGCCGCGAAACAGCCGTTTTTAATGAGTCATGTTGAGAAAGTTACCATTTAAAAAAAAAATATTCCTTTTGGTTTGCCTTCTGTGGAGTTTAATAACACTATATTATATTTAGCGTTATATTTGTCTACTCTATTTGGGGGCAGTAGTTTTTATTCATGTTAGTGACTTAAAGCAATTTGCTTCTTTAAACATAAATCTCACTCAGCTTTGAAGAGGGGGATTTAGAAGCATGAGGTAACTACTAGAGAACACAGGTGTTATACGAGTAGGGACCAGCATTGTGAAGGACAGGGATGGCTGGTGTGGACAGATCCCACGGCTTAGTATGAGCATCTCATTCCAGAGAGCTTATGAATTTATCTCACTTACGGGGCAGAAAAACATGGCCAGAGACTGCACACCCTGGCTAAGTGCTTTGCAGACTCGAAGAAACTAAAGGATTGTTTTAGTACAAATCGTCACGAGCACCAGGACAACACTTCAGAGTGGATGGACCGCCTGTCTACCAGCAGGGTCATCGTCCCACAAAGTCTAGAGGTTAGACATTGATTAAATGCATGGGTTAGCTGTCCTCTGTCCAGCCGCAAGATGCTGATCACTGTCTGTGGTCTGTGGCTGTGGGTTTGTTTAATGAAATCCAAAGCCAGTTTTGAAGCCTACTGAAATGACCTTGTATAACATCAAGTCTTGGTGCTTCTGAGTGCCCTGAAAAAAGCTCTTTCTGCCAAGCAATAAATCCAGTGTGCCTAAAAGTCTTCCTACTTAATTAGGAACAGTTAGCCTTTTTTTTTTTTTTGGTAATAACTACATACACCCACACCACAAGTGTGGCAGAAGCCAGCTTTTACCCATGCAGACTTCAGACTTGCCACAGTCAAGCCATTGATTTCTCGTTTCTCAGGGCCTAATTCTGGCCTAAGTTTAGCACGCTGTTTAACGTCCTGCTCCAGCGGCTGGACTTAATATTACAGTAGGTGAGTTTTCTTGTCACCAGCACTGTTGAAGTATTGCAGGAGACATCCCACAAAGGGAAGGCCCATGGGCCGCTCTGCCTCGTGTCTGGAGAGCAGGACACTTTGCAACCCAGAGCCTGCTGTCTCACCTTTGCAAGAACTGCCACTTTCCCATCATGAGCCCTTTCTCTGTCTTAGCTTGTACCTTCACTTTTGTTAAGAAGGGTTAATATGGGGGTGCCTGGGTGGCTCAGATGGTTAAGCGTCTGCCTTCGGCTCAGGTCATGATCTCAGGGTCCTGGGATCGAGTCCCGCATTGGGTTCCCTGCTCAGTGCAGAGCCTGCTTCTCCCTCTCCCTCTGCCACTCCCTCTGCTTGTGCTCTTCTGTCTATCTCTCTGTCAAATAAATAAATAAAATCTTTAAAAAAAAAAAAAGAAGGGTTAATATGGAAAAAATAGAACTGCCTTTTCCTCATGTTTTAATTTCAGATAATAATTATTATTTTTAAAGCAGAGGTGGAAAGAAATTAGACTTATGTGGTATTTCTAATCACCTTAACATGCTACAAAGAGGGGTTTTTTTTGGTTTTTTTTTTAGGGAGTTGAAATATGAAAATGGTATAGAAACCATTTCAAACACTGAAAAAGTTGAAATAAACTGTACAAACAGGTCCCTCCCCCCTCTTTTGGATGGTAAAGAAACATCAATGATATTTTAGCTAATAAAACTGAACATCACAATTTAATGTTACAAATTGTTAAATCAGAAGGGAAATTCTTAGAACATAGCCTTTGCTCAAAATGTTTTTGGAGCTCTTTCAGATTTGTAGTGTATGATTTTGCATATCCTCAGACTAGTAGTTTTACTTTTTAGAGTGGATTGGTTTTTAAAAACAGCCAAACATTTTTTAATGCCAGCTTAGGCATTTAATGCCAACTTAGGCAACAAAGCAGGACACTGACAATCTTACGTTACTCCGGATCTGCTTCAGATAGCAGTTTCGAAAGGGTTCCATAAAACTTCTGATCAATGGAAACAGCTCTGAAAACCATGTATTAACTACCAAAGGGCAGGCATACCTTTAAATGTGTTCTCCAGTATATCTGTTTTTAGAATACAAAGACAGGGCTTAGAAGTTCATGACCACATATCTTCTAAGAATCCAGTATGGCTACAGACAAATTTTTTTCACATTTCTCTTTCAGTATTAGCTGCCTTAAAAAAAAAAAATCTTAAGCTTGCTAAATAAACTATTATGGAGATATGCTGCACAGTGATTCCACTAGTGAAATAAAGTCTGAATATTATGCATTTTTATTTTCAGATAATCTACAGAAATTAAACCTTTGATTCTATAGATCCCTTTTGATGGCCGTATTTGACACTTTTTACATTTTTTTCTTAGCCTTTCTCCCAAATATCTGAATCCTTTTTCCTGTCATCTAGAAGGGTCTCCCTAGGTTGCTTGTCTTGTACTTGCTTTGTCAGAATGTATAGAAGAGTAAACTATGGCTATTTATTATGGTAATATGGCTTAATTCCCTGTTACCAGAAAAGTTGTGACTTTTGTGAAAAGTTGTAGGTTTACATAACTTTCTCTCTTGCTTTTTTTTTTTTTTTTTTTAATTAGCAGGTTTATAATAGAGATGGTAACCTTCAAACTTGGGAATAACACCTCTGAATATATTTTTTAGGTCAACAAGCTCTTTGGTTAGTTTGAGGTTCTCTAAATTCTTTGCCTCCCTCCCTCGTTCCTGCCCACTTCATTCATTCACTTGGTCTCTAAATGCTGTGCTCAACGATGCCAAATTTTCCAAAAACAATGGTGGATTTACATAGAGCTAAGTTTGGCAAAGTTAGAGAAACAAAAATAATTGTTTTTTTTTTTTTAAACTGGTTTCTCCTGAAATAAAACAAAACTGTAACGTGGGGTGACAGTTTCTATTCATTTTTTAATTAGGCAATTTAGGTAGGCATCACTTTGACAGTTTCCAGCTCTGAAAGTGATTGTAAGTGAGCAACCATATTGCTTCATTTTGATTTTGAGGTCACCTACTTTGTCATGTGAATCTGCCTTGAGCCAAGTGATGCTGAGCCCCTAGGCGGCTAAAGGCTGGATGGCATCTCTTCGTCAGGATGGTGACAGAGACATGCTTCCATGAATGCAAATGGTTCTCTGAGCTTATTAAGCTGGAAAAGACCCAAATTAGAAAGGGATGAAGGATCCAAGAAGGAGAAAGTGATTGAGGAGCAGTACTGAGAACTGCAGCTTGAGGATTATATAGAAATGATTTGGTTTTTAAATTATCTTTATAAGTGTTGAATAAATCTTTAACCTAACATATCTGCTCAAAGTTAATAATGAATTATGATTCTGAATTATTTTTCGGTTTGAAAAAGCCTTGGACCCTGGCCTCTTATTTTTTATGCTTACAGTTACCAACTATAGCCCATAATAATAATAGTTATTTTTTTACTTTAAGTAAAATTTATTGAGCACCTACTATATTTGTGTAAGGCTCTTTGTCTTATTCTTCCATCCCTTAAGGAGGTAAATCTACAGGCACAACAGACTTATGTGAGGAACTGCACATAACAGCTGTTACACTGTTACATAAATAAAGTGCTGGGACAGGCAGAGCCATGTCAGTAACTATAACTGATTTGAAAGAAGCTTGAAGGAAGAGTAGGGCTCTTTTGGTTTGAGGTTGAAATCAGGCAGTCTTTAAAAATTCTCATTAAATTTTAGTTGTAAATTTGGAGGGAGTTAATAATGAATGGATTCCTCAGCCTAGTGTCATTGTTATTGTTGGAGATTTTTTTCAAATGCTT